TATATATATATATATATATATATATACAGGGCCTAAAACTAACTTTTTGCCAGACCTGCCATTGGCCGGTGACTTAAGGAAATTTACCAGCCAGAAATATTTTTTATCAGCCATAAAAAAAAAAAACAAGGCAGTTATGACACCAACATTTTAGTTAATAGCAAAAAATCACAATCCCTGATTCCAGTTTCGATACCTGCTAAAACTACTAGCTAACCTATATAAATTTAATAGGCTACGTTATTAAAGACTAGTAAATAGTCAGTTTTAAAAGAAGAGCAAATCAAATTACAAGCAATAGCACAAAATAGCCTACTATACAACAAAGATACAAATAGAAACCGTGCATTTCAGGCAGGTCCAACAGTGATTTTCAGGTTGCCTACAGAAATTTAATAAATGATGCCAATCAAATAACACTATAGTCTTTATTCTTTGTCCTATTTTCTTTGATCAACATCGCAGCAAACGCAGACAACAGCAGGATTATTGGAATTCTGTGTCTATCACTTTAACACTGTGTCTACACTGCAGCAGCTTGAAGTTGTCAACGCTGGATGCGACAAAGCGGCCGTTGCTTGGACCATTTCAGAAATAGAACGGGGAATCCGTTTACTTTCGGGGATTAGTCGTGTCGCGCCGCATCCTGTGTAGACAGTATCACTGATTATAATGGGTTCTATTGAGTTGTGACACATTGCGTCAAGCGTGCGCATTTTTTTTCTCAGCTGTTCATGTTCACTTAAGAACCAACTACTTTACTAGGATACTCACAGAGACGGGCATTTTTTACATAATTTTGTGTGAATTTGTCCGTTCAAGCGCAGGAAGGAAGCAGAGCCTAAGACACGGCTTTCAGGCCAGGGCTTCGGATGTTTAAACTTCCCACTCAGCGCGAGTAATGCGTCTCCTTTCATTCTAGATCTAGATCTTGAATATTTACATTGCAAAGGCTTAAACTTTTGTGATGAAGCAGCACTGACCCGTTAACTGTACAGAGTCGCGTTCACATTTGTTCACATTTATGTTCTCACAACATTGCACTGTTAAGAGTTTATACAAATGTTACCGGCCATCTGGCGACTGACACAGTTTCATATACTCGCCAAAGCCGAGTGTTAATTTTAGGCCCTATATACATATTATGTATTATGATTACATAAAAATAACATGCATAATTTTTTTATAAAAACAAAGATTTACATTTTCACAGTTACAGCCCCGAAAACATTTTATTCTATAAAGTTTTCAAGAAAATCACAGGTTCCCCTACATACAAATAACACCCAAAGATATATCAGTATTAAATTTGTATTTAAAAGTACAAATATTGCAGTAACTGCTGGATGAAGCATTGCTTCACCAGCCTACACAGATACACAAAGGTCAGAAAGTTATAAATAGTTTGCAATGTAAAAATGCAAAACAAACTAGATTTAAAAAAAAAAAAAGAGAGAGAAAACATTAGTCTGCTTGAGGAAGGTCAAGACTGACATATGTTGCAATAAATATTGATTTTCTCTAAACTGCTTTGCTTAAAAAAACGGCTGAAAAGTTATGCCACAAAGAAAAAAAAAGTTTTACTTTTATATAACAATAAAATACTTAATATATGTAATATCTGTTTTATGAACACTGAACACAATGCTTTTAAACCTGATGTCATTTAAATTATTATATACACACACATACACAAATATAATTTACCTGAATAACATCAGATTTAAAAGCATTAAATGATAAAACCAATACTGTAGTATTCTTGCTTTTATTTGTGTACACTCACAATGAAAACAAAACATTGTGCTTTTGTAAAATAAAGAAAACAAATATGATGTCGCTTTCTGCCATTTGAGTTTCCTTTCTTGGAACTAATTAAGCCTGCCACAAAAATGAACTGAAACTCCGCATATAGGCTACGTTACGTGTCGCACTGTTGTTTTCCCCTTGTTTATCTGTAAACTAAATCAAATATATTTCAAGAATAATATGTACTGCAGATTATATATATATATAACATAATGTAATAATATTTAGTATTTTCACATCTAGGTGGAATATTTTTTAATTTGTACTACTGTCTGTTCAAAATAAATGTAAAGAAACCGAGCATAGTAGATTTTTATTTTTTTGTTGTACCGAAATTGTATCGAACTGTGACATCTGTGTACCGTTCCACCCCTAATATATATATATATCCACACACACACACAGGGGCAGACTTAACCAATAAGTGAGGTAAGCAGCCGCTTAGGGCCCCGAGGAATCAGGGGGCCCCATCTGATATTGGTAAAACATATTTGGCAAATGCTCCGGTGTGTATTTGTGTTATGGAGAGCATCAAATGTTCACTCACCGCTCAAAATGCAGAGTTTTTGTCAAGTGCTTATCTCTGCAAGCTGGCGAAACCTCTCATTATAACTGTGTGTAGATACGATGTAAATAAGAGATTAATTGTGCAGTGCAGACAGCTTCATTGATGATCGGGATGAACTGAATGACAGCTTTTAGTGATTATAGAGTGTGCACTTTCTAGTCTGTATAATCCTGTCAGACTGTCACAGAACGGTTATATTAACCTCAGAGAAGAAAGTTTTGTGTCATCATTTGTCTTGATGTTTTAAAATGACTCGCTTGTGTGCTTTTAATGCGCACTCATACAAATGCACGAATGTGATTCGAGATTTTCGCATAATAATAGATTACATTTTCAATGTGTTTCTTGGCAAACCCTACCGTATGCCTTCAGAACACTTGGAATACGGAACGAGTTGCATGGGATACTTTTACGACATTTGAATCCTTTTTGTAAAAAGATTGACGAAGGTTACAATTCATTAAATGGACAAGTGCAAGCCTTTTCTTTTTTAAAATAATGTCTTTTGTGATCTGAAAAAAAAAAAGTTAAGCTAATATGGCTTTAGAACAGCATCAGGTTGACTAATTATTTACTTATTTTGTGAAGAGGTAAATAAACTATTATAGAGAGAGCGAGCAAAAGGGTTAGGCATAAAAGAGCACATAGTTATTGTGTTGGGGCCCCATACATGAAATTTGCTTAGGGCCCCAAATCACTAAGTTCGCTCCTGCACACACATATACACACGTGTCATGGTAGTATTTATTCAACAGCCTTCTTTTAAAAAAAAATTTTAATAAAAAAAAAAATTACAATAATAATTTACTATATTTTTGCAAAAATATTAATGGTTCTCAAAAAATAATACAAATATAATTAATTTGATTTCCTTTGTATTTAGTGGTGAAATATGAGGCGAGATTCTCCCAATCAGCTGAAAATAATAATTCACAATAATTCACTTTCTTCCATGACGTGAACAGGTGCCGTCTCTTTTTTTCATCATGAAGTGTGAAGTACGCTAAACATCTGCAATAATGATTATGTCTTAATTTTCACATTTAAAAAATAAATAAATATACAGCATTATTTTTAATACTTTGTGCTTTTATAAAACCTGTCTTAGAAAGGGTGCGTGCCATCACTGCCATTCATAATCATCTTTATATATTTCCTAGCCATTAGTTTACATCCACGACTGCGTATAAAACTATTCTCCAAGTATCCTACATTTGTTCTATAATATCTCTCTTCATCTCTTATATATTCTCAGTCATATTTACCCTTACAGACCCCATAAAATCAAAATCAGTTTAGCTTTGAATCCATAACTAAATAAATGTTAACATGTATTTTTGTCCAGTCAAATGGGTGATTTGTGACCCTGGACCACAAAACCAGTCATAAGGGTCAATTTTTTGAAATTGAGATGTATACATCATCTGAAAGATGAATAAATAAGCTTTCCATTGATGTATGGTTTGTTAGGATCGGACAATATTTGGCCGAGATACAACTATTTGAAAATCTGGAATCTGAGGATGCAAAAAAATCTAAATATTGAGAAAATCATCTTTAAAGTTGTTCAAATGAAGTTCTTAGCAATGCATATTACTAATCAAACATTAAGTTTTGATATATTTACGGTAGGAAATTTACAAAATATCTTCACGGAACATGATCTTTACTTAATATCCTAATGATTTTTGGCGTAAAAGAAAAATCTATAATTTTGACACATACAATGTATTGTTGGCTATTGCTACAAATATACCCCAGCGACTTATGACTGCTTTTGTGCTCCAGGGCCACATTTGTCCTGCTCAGACTTCCTATTTCAATATGCATTCTCTATAAATTAATCTGAAATATAATAAATATTGATATTAAAGTCTGGGCAGATGAAAGCAACACTGGTTTGGCCTTTACTTCAGCTGAGGGTTTGTTTAAAGGCCAAAAACAGATACCGAGCATCTTCAGAAGTTGGTTCACTTGTTCTCAATCAGGATCTGGACCTTGTGCACCAGCTCTCGGGCCATGAGCAGCAGCTTGGGGATGTCATGCCGTTCAGCCATTTCTAGAAGAAGACAGAGGACAACAAACAGCACGTCACGTCGGCTCTGATTTTGCACAGCCCTATGATGATTGGTCAGTCGGCTCACCGTTGAAGAACTTGATGATGTCGGTGAAGTCCATGTTGTTCTCCAGGATGATGTCGCGGTACAGCTCCACCAGCGCCAGCGCGATGAACAGCACGAAGTGCTCCGAGGAGGCGTAACGCGCGGCCCAGACGGTCTCCCACACCGAGAACACGTCATCGTACACCATTTCTGACAGAGAGGTGAACAACAGCAGGTGACGATTTCTCCAGCTCAAAAGAACCAGGAATGACATGTTTTTAAGAAATGTAGAGGAGTATAAAGTACAATATCATGCTTTGGAATGTAGTGAACAGTGTTGGGGAAAGTTACTTTTAAAAGTAATGCATTACAATATTGCGTTTCTCCATAAAAAAAAGTAACTAATTATGTTACTTGTGTAATGTGTTACTTTTGCGTTACTTTTTAAATCTGGACAGGGCTTGCTTGTTTGTTTTTAAAATAAAAAAGTTCTATTTTTGGCAAATATAAAAGACTTTGCACACCAAAAGTGAAATGAATAA